CGGTGAGGCCAAGAGCTGGGCCTGGAGGGTCCACTGGGAGGCAGAGGCTGGGCCTGCACGGGCCTACCACAGGCAGGAGCCAGGCCTAGAGAGGCCCACAAGAGGAAGCTTCAGGCCTGAAGAGGGCACTGGGAAGCAGGAGCTGGCCTGGGAGAGTCCATCAGAGGCATGAGCTGGGCCTAGACAGCTGGGCCAGTGTAGGGGAGGACCTGGGCCTACTACACTAGAGGCCAGCATGAGGCCAGAGCTGGGCCCTGAGAGGCTACCAGAGGCATGAGCTGGGCCTCAATGGGCCAGCGTGAGGGAGGAGCTGGGCTTGTGGACCCAGCTGGGAGATAGGCAGGAACTTGGCCTGGGGAAGCCACTGCCAGGCAACAGCTGGTCCTGGGGAGGCTGCAGGGAGGTCAGAGCAGGGCCTGGAGAGGCCACTGTCAGGCAGGAGCTGGGCCTGTCAAGGGCACTGGGAGGCAGAAAGTAGGCCTGGAAAGCTCCACTTGAGGAAGCTTCAGGCCTACAAAGGCAAGGCCGCCAGGAGCTGTCCAGGAGCTGTGCCAAAAGAGGCTGTCATGAGGCAGGACTTGGGCCTGTAGACATGGCCAGGAGGAAAAGCTGGGCCTGGGGAGGCTGCCATGATTGAGGCAGAGGCTGAGCCTGGAGAGGCTGACCAGAGGCAGGAGCTGGCCCTGGAGGGGCGCACGTCGGGAAGTTTTGTACCCAGACAAGCTGCCAGGAGGTCAGGAGCTGGGCCTTGAGAGGCTGACTTCAGGACCATTTGGGCCTGCCAAGGCCACTGGGAGAAGGCAGTAGCCAGGCTGAGAAGCCAACTTGAGGACGTTTGGGGCCAGGAGAGACCATCTGAGGGCAAGGAGCTGAGACTGGAGAGGCCACCATGAGGCATGAGCTGGGTGGGCCTGGAGAACTTGACTTGAGGACTTCTTGAGCCTACAAAGGCTGCCAGGAGCTGGGCAGGAGCTGAGTCCACAGAGTTTACTGTGAGGCAGGAGCTGGGCAGGAGCTGAGTCCACAGAGTTTACTGTGAGGCAGGAGCTGGGCAGGAGTTGAGTCCACAGAGTTTACTGTGAGGCAGGAGCTGGGCAGGAGCTGAGTCCACAGAGTTTACTGTGAGGCAGGAGCTCGGCAGGAGCTGAGTCCACAGAGTTTACTGTGAGGCAGGAGCTGAGTCCACAGAGTTTACTGTGAGGCAGGAGCTGGGCCTGTCGATGGAGCTGGGAGTAGAGCTAGGCCCGGAGAGGACTCTGGGAGGCTGCACCTGGGCTGGAGAGGCTGCGCGAGGCATGATCTTGGTCCAGAGAGGCTGCCAAAAGGCCAAGAAGTAAAGTGTGCATTCTGCAGACGGTGTTCTCAAGCTAAAGCTGGGCCTTTACATGCCACTGGGAGACAGATGTTTGGCCTGGAGAGGTGAGCTTAAGGACAGTTTGGGCCTATAGTTGTTGATGGTAAATCGGCAGGTGCTGGGCCAAAAGAGGTTTTTATGAGGCACCAGGTGTGACTGTACAGTCAGCTAAGACATTTAGTTGTGCCTGGAGAAGCCTCCGTGAGGCAGAGACTGGATTTTTAGAGGCCGATGGGAGGCAGGATCTGGGCCAGGAGAGGCCAACTTGAGAAGGATTTGGGTATTCAGAGGCCACCAGAAGGCAGTAGGTGGGCCTAGAGAGGCTGACTTGAGGAAGTTTCTGGCCTGGAGATGCCATTCTGGGACAAAAGCTGCATCTGGAGATGCTTTTGTGAGGCATAAGCTTTGCGTAGAGAGGCCAGTGTGAGGCAGGACCTGGGCCTATCCAGGCTGCCGGGGGACAGGCAGCAACTTGACCGGGGAAGGTTGCCATGAGGCAAAAGCTGGGTCTGGAAAGGCACCTGTGAGGCATGAGCTTGGCCTAAAGGGGCCATTGGGTGGCAGGAACTGGGCGCGTAGAGGCTGTTGAAAGGCAGGAGGTTGGCTTGGTGGGGCCATGGTGAGGCAGATGCTGGGCATGAAGTCTGCTGTGAGGTAGAGGTTAGGCCTGTAGAGGCAGACGGGAGCAGGAGCTGGGCCTGGAGAGGCTGCCGGCATGCAGTAGCTTTGCCTGGGGAGGCTGCCAAGAGGCATGAGCTGGGCCTAAAGAGCCCAGTGTGAGGCAAGTGCTCAGCCTGGAGTGGCCAATTTCTGGAAGATTCCAGCCTGGAGAGTGTGTTGTGGGGCAGGATCTGGGCCTATGAGGGCTGCTGAAAGGTAGAAGCTTGGCCTGCAGGTGTTGTGGTGAGGCAGTTGCTGGGCCTGGAGAGTCTGCTGTGAGGCAGAGTTTGGGCCTGTAGAGGCCAATAGGAAGCAGATTTGGACCTGGAATGGCAGACTTGAGAAAGTTGTCTGGTGAGGCTGAGATGCAGGAATTGGGCCTGAAGAGGCCATCGAGAGGTATGAGCTTTGCCTAAAGAGGCCAGTGAGAAGCAGGAGCTGTGCCCATAAAAAAGGCCAACTTAAGGAAGTTTTGGTCCTGGACAGCCTGTCAGGGGACAGGAGCTGGGCCTGCAGAGGCCACTGTGAGCTGGGCCTAATAAGGTTAGTGTGAGGCAGGACCTGGGCCTGTCAAGGCTCCCAGGAGGTAGGTAAAAACTTGTTCAGGGAAGACCTCCATGAGGCAAAAGCTGGGCCTGAAGAGTCCACTGGGAGAAAAGAGCTGGGCTGGAGAGGCCACTGTCACTCAGGAGCTGGGCCTGTCCAAGCCATTGGGAGGCTGAAGGTAGGCCTGGAGAGCTTGATTTGAGGCAGTTTTTGGCCTAAAAAGGCCACCAGGAGTTAGGCAGGAGCAGAGCCAAAAGAGGTTGTTGTGAGGCAGGTGATGGCCCTCTAAGCACAGCTGGGAGGAAGAGCTCGGCCTTGAGAGGCCAACTTGTGGACACTTTGGGCCCAGATAAGCCACCCAGAGATAGGAGCTGGGACTAAAGATGCCATTGTAAGGGAGGAGCTGGGCCTGTATCAGCTGCTGGGAGGTAGAAGTTGGGCCTCAACAGGCCACTGTAAAACAGAAGCTGGGTCTTGGAAGGTGGTCGTAAAGCAGAAGCTGGGTCTTGGAAGGTGGTCATAAAGCAAAAGCTGGCCCTTGGGAGGATGATGAAAGGCAGGAGCTGGGCCTGATGAGGTCGACTTGAGGAAGTTCTGCGCCTGAAGAGAAGGCTGGGAGGGAGGAGCTGGACCTAAAGAGTCCACTGTAATGATGAACCTGGGCCTGTGGAGGCTGCTGTGAGGCAGTAGCCTCATCTGCAAAGACAACCATGAGGCTGGGTATGGACCCTAGTGAGCTATGAACTTGGCCTACAGAGGCCAACTGGAAAAATTTCTAGGCCTGGAGAGGCTGCTGCAAGGCAGGAGCAGAGCCAAAATATTCAAGAACATTACATTTATTGGGCACTTTATTTTCATTATTATGTTGTGATATATAATGAATAATTACAGAGCGCACCATAATATAGAATTAGTGGGAATGTTAAGCTTGTTTTTCTGCTACTAGATGGTCCCATCTGAGTATGATGGGAGAAAGTGACAGATCACTAGGCATTAGATTCTCACAGGGACCATGCAACATTGATCCCTCGCATGCCTGGCTCACAATAGGGTTCGTGCTCCTAAGAGAATCTAATGCTGTTGCTGATCTGAGAGAAGGTGGAGGTCAGGCAAGAATGTGAGCAACAGGGAGTGGCTGTAAATACAGATGACGTTTCCCTCGCTAGACACCATTCACCTCCTGCTATGTGGCTCCTTACAGCTCCATGGCTCAGGGGTTGGGGACCCCTACTCAAGTACATCCAGTGGCATTTCATCACAATCAACAGTAAGTGGTAGCTTGAGTCATGATAAGGTCACTTCCCCAAAATCACCAGCATCCCATTTCCTATTGGCAAGAAGTTCAGCACTGCCCCTTGGATAATCAAACCTATGCCCAAATCCCATCTGCATGGGTCTATCTCCAGGGACCCTTCCTAACATCAACTCTGTATTAGTCTGAGTCCAATCATGAGACATAAACCACTCAAAAGTTTAAAGCAGTAAAATTTAATACAGAGAATTATTCATTATTAACAGGGGAACAGCATAATGAGAGATTGGCTAGCACAAAGTAAAGAGAGCTCTAGAGAGTATGTAAGACTAGCCAAGGCCAGGCATGGTGGCTCATGCCTGAAATTCCAGCAACTTAAGACACCAATACAGGAGGATTCCTTGAGGCAGAAGCTAGAGACCAGCCTGGGAAACACAGCGAGAGCCTGTCTCTATCCAAAAAAAGAAAAAAAATTAGCTGAGTGTAGTGGTGCACACTTGTAGTCCCAGCTACTCAGGAAGCTGAAGAGGGAGGTGAGTATGAGACTGGAGGTCAAGGCTGCAGTGAGTTATGATTATGCCACTACAGTCAAGCCTGGGTGACAGAGCAAGACCCTGTCTCAAAGAACAAAACAACAGAGACAACCATTTACAGACAGAAAAGAAACAGAGCTAATAAGCTAAGCTAAGGAAAGATGTTGAAATGTGACATATATATAAAGCAACATGAGGTCTTTTATCTATTTAAAATAATTTTTTAAAATAATGTATTAAATTATAATGCCATGTGCTGGCAAAGGTAGAGTGAAATGGGCACTTTCTTATACTATGGGGGATGTTTAAATTGTATATAAGCCTTCCAAGGTAAAGCTTGGCAGTTTTTTAAAATAATAGAGACAGTGTCTCACCATACTGCTGGACTCAGGCAATCCTCCTGCCTTAGCCTCCCTCCTTAGCCTTAGTGCTGGGATTATAGATGGGAGGCATCCAAAACCTTGTCAATTTATATCAAGGCCAATGAGAATGTCCATTCACCATGGCTCACAGTAATCTTACTTCTGGTAATACCTTGGAGACAATTCAATCTAAACAAAAGGTCATCTACACAAACACAGTGAAAATCTGGGAGTAATTTAAGACAGAGTGGTTAAGTGAAGATCAGCTAATATTAGCTGCTAGTTTTTTGTTATTTTGAGACAGAGTCTTACTCTGTCACGCAGGCTGGAGTGTAGAGGCCTGATTATGACTCACTGTAGTCTCAGCCTGCACATGCCACCACACTAGACTAATTCATGAACTTCTCTGAAGGGATGGCGACTTCCTTTGTTACCACAGCCTGTCTCAAACTCTTGGCCTCAGGCCATCCGCCTGCCTCAGCCTCCCAAAATGTTGTGATTACTGGTGTGAGCCACCACAGCTGGCCAGCTGCTACTTTTATTATTAATATTCCACTTAATTAAAATTTATTTGGCATTAAAACTATTATTTTCAAGCCTATGGAACAATGTGTGTCCTACAGCATAATTATAAAAACATATACAGTCATCCCTCAGTATAAAGAGAAGATTAGTTCCAGCCCCACATCTCAGCATATACCAAAATTAATGCATACTCACATTTTGCAGTCAGCCCTCTGGAACCCACGTATAGAAAAAGTCCAAATATTGGTTGGACATAGCGGCAAACACCTATAGTCTGAGCCATTTGGGAAGTTGAGGTGGGAGGATCACTTGAACCTCAGAGATTATGGCTGTAGTCAGCTGTGATAGCACCACTGCTCTCTAGCCTGAACAACAGAGCAAGACCCTGTCTCAGAAAGAAAAACAAAAAAACAGGTTAGAAATTGTAATGAGGTCTGTTGGGGAAAATCGCATATAAGCAAAGTATAAATTAATGAAGCAAATGTTGATAAATTAGTACAACTGACTTTCTGAAGTTTCTGACAATAAAGGTAAGAAAAATGCAAAACACAGAGACAGAGCCTAAAAAAAGAAATTGGGGAAGTATTCTATGTGTATAATATGATCAGAGGATCAAACTACCGATGGTGATAGTTAAGTAATCCA